GACATGTCTTGGGCCGTGTTCGTGAATACAAGGCAGATCTGAAACACGGCAGTACAAATACTTCTTCCGTAGCTTATCATTACTTTAATGCGGCTGGCTCACATGAAATAGATTTCTCTAAGACGATGGTACTTTGCAAGCCGACTGGCTAACAACAAAGGTTCGTTCACGAAGCCATCCATATTTACAGACACAAGCACAATTTCAACCGAGGCGACGGTTTTAAACTCAGCAATCATTGGAAAGATGTGATCAACCACTTTGGGTCATGATTTGAATTTGTGTTTCCTTGTCAACCTCTACAGTCAGCAACAGGTGTATCTCCCCCTCCCCCTATCTCTGCCCCATCCCCTCTCTGCCCCACACCTGTCCCTCTCTGCCCCACCCCCTCACTCTCCCCCTGTCTCTCGCGCAGCCCCTTCCCCCCGCCCACGCACTATGAAGCCCTTATAAGCAGATACATTTGGAGGTCTGCCCTCTTTTCTTTTCACCTGAAGAAGACCACTTGTGTTGCGATCGAAACGTCGTGGGTTCTTTGCTTTAAATTTAGATTTTTGTTTTCTATCTACGTGACTTCACCGAAAGAACCAATAATACATAAATACGTATTGAATAATATATATATATTTCATACTATGTATGCGAGTGCCTATGGTTAATGGTTTCTGCGCAGTGAAGAACTCGCATCTTTCCCCGCGGAGGTGTTTGACAAACTGACCCAGCTCACTCATCTGGTTCTGGACACCAACCAGCTGAAGAGCGTTACCAGGGGCGCGTTTTACAAACGGAGCCAGAACTGCCAGGAACGGTTTCTATATAAGGAACGAAACAGTTAGACTTCTCCTCCAATCGGACTGTCGTCTTATGAAGCTAGTCTCAGGGGTCACTTTGCAGCCAAATGTATTGCAGCTTCGTGAGGCTGTCGAAGGCGCCTTTGGGAACAGTCGTCAGCTGGTGACATTGGTCGGGTGTCTTTTCGTCCATCGTTCCACATTACAAACACACACAGTGTACGTGGATAGCATATGCACATGCATTCAGAAACAAGCGAATAAGGTAAACAATAGAGTGCACACTTCTACGTGTACATTCCGCACATTTAAACGTATATACATAAATACACGCGTACACTTCTATACTCAATGTAGTGTTATTGACAAATGTGAGTTGTTTTAATTACACTAAGTATAAACTCATGATAATTATAATGAATTATAACAAACGCATAATGTTTCATCGCAATTATTCCGTTTAGAAGAGCCGCAGCTCCTTCAGACTCACGAGCTGATTGAACGCGCCAGCACCAATGGATGTCAACTGCTTCGGGTGCAGACCTCAGTGAGCCAGTGTTGGCTACACTCAGTGGTGCATAATCACACGTAACAAAAAACTAAACACAACACGCACACAAACCGCGCTGAATAGGAAATATATAATGGCTGACGTTTCGGGCGACGGCCCTTCTGCATAGCACGTAAATAATGTACGTGCGTGCAACGTCACGTTTAAGATATTTTCACTTCAAGGCAGTGTCATTGGGGTAAGGGTAAGGTTGTTTGTGCATATTCAGTTAAGATCCAGCTATGTGTAATTAATGTCGTTCCCTTAATCAAATACACCCCATGACTGGCACGGCATGGGAAGGCCTTCATCCAGCACTGGTTATACATAATACTTTGAGTGATTAATTTTATAATTGAGTTCACAAAGCCAATCCGTTCACATGTTTGATGGATTAATAAAATGCAGCCAGTAGTCTTTGTGGTCGTATTTACATGTACTCTGCTAGAGCAGTCGTACAATAGTAGAGAGCGAGTGTCTGAGGTTCCTGAGCCGTAAGGAACTCGCGTCTCTCCCCGCTGGGGTGTTTAACCGCTTGGTGAACTACTAAACTGAAGTCTCTAGAAGTGAAGAGGCCACTTTGAACTGATATGTCACTCGCATTATCATAATCCATGAGTACCCGTTTGGGTGTTTGACAGTCTAATATAAATAAATACATGTGAATGAAGGTCAATTTAACGAACACATCTGTATTCAAGTCGAGGCACTTATATTTACGTCAAATGCGGATGAAAATTAAAGGAAGTTGCTTAAGCTAATATATATATGGAAGTGAAATGGAAGTCGCTATGATTGTGGAGGGAGATTAGTACAAAATACAGATAACTATGACAGTAAATAGAGATCGCTGAAACTAAAACGTCGTCTATGAAAGTGATTGAAGGTCGCATTAAATAATTTCGTTTTAAATTATGTCGCTTTCATTAACATATGTGTATATCTACATTAGTACCCGCTGAGGTGTTTGACAGTCTGACCCAAATAACTAGTCTGGCTCTGAGTGGCAACCGACTGCACACCCTTCCAGAGAAACTGTTTAACGGTCTGGTGAATCTGCATAGCCTGTATCTGAATCAAAACCAGCTGAAGAGCATTCCCAGGGTTGCGTGTGACAAACGTAGCCAGCCATGCAAGGAATGATCGCTGCATTGTCGATGGACAACAGGATAGAGGTGACGCTGGGCACGAGTCGCGTTCAGTTTATAAACCTACAACCTTCGAGTGTCTACCAGTAAGCCTACCTTTTCTCCTTTACCAGTGTAATGTGAGGTTATATCCGGGTCGTTGACGTATCACAACTCGTCACGATGATTGGCTCTGCCGGTCCTGGTCCATAGCCAATGGGGGGAAGCCTAGGGGCGTGGCCCTGACGTAATGGAAAGGTGACAGCTGTAAGTAGAGGATTGGTTCTGCTGGCTTTGGCCACAGCCAATGGAGAGATGAGTCAGGGGCGTGGTCCCGCGAGCTTACGAGGGAGCCTGGACCATTCCATGGAGGCTAACCAGGATTGGTGGAAACGTACCACGTGACCTGGGTATTAAATAGGGGTGGAGACGAACGACACGTGGTCAGAACGGGAACGAACAGAGTAAGTGGGCCACGCGGGAGCGGGGCTCCGGGTTGCCACGTTGCAGTGTGTCTCTCTTTCTATCTGTCCCTCTCACGCTGCCTGTCAGCAGCGTGAAGGAAAGCTGTAATACAAGTTGAATAAAAGACAGATTCCAGAAGTCGCCTCAACGAGCTTTATTACAACAGTAAGCCTGTTTAACACGTAGGCTTTCGCGACCAATGTTATTCATAATCAACGATTTTTGGGTTTAGATCGCGTTTATTTATAAATGTGTCGTAACCCTCCACCACCCGACACGGCCAATCAGTAAAAATGTGTCACGTTGACAAAGACAAATAGTTCACTGCTTTAGCCCACCGGTGTGTTGAAGCAACAACATTTACAATTTGAGTACGACGTTTCGCTGGTAATTGCAATCAGCATCATCGGGCAATTCGCCAGAATGGTGAGGCTCTCCTGTGTCTCCCGTTCTTATATAGAGCAGCAGCAGTGAACTATTTGTCTTTGTCAACGTGACACATTTTTACTGATTGGCCGTGTCGGGTGGTGGAGGGTTACGACACATTTATAAATAAACGCAATCTAAACCCAAAAATCGTTGATTATGAATAACAGTAAGCCTGCCTTACATCGTCTACCTCACATTAACATAGCCACTTCCGTGCCCTCGTCTAGGTCTAGGAGGTCGCTTTCTCTCTTTTCTACAGTAACATGCTAATTTCTCACGTTAACATCACTTGCCCCGGCCACTTCTTTATGACCCTTAAGCTACACCAATTTCAAAACTTTTAAAACAGTCTGCCTCAGCAGCATACCATGCTTTCCCACCTGATGACGGACGCTTGTGTTGCGCCCGAATCGTCGTGATTTATTTTATTTTACACCTACGTAACTTTATCGAAAGACCAAAGAGCATGGATTCGTGCAGTCACGAAAGCTTCAAATCAAGATGATGAACTAATTTACGATGGCCAATGCACATTGACCATGGTCAATAACTAAAGCAGTGGCAGCTAAGGTAGAGAACGAACCCGGAAACACGTCCACCATGGAGATGGAGTAATGACAGCAGCTCGTGTGCAGGTGCGAGTTGGATTAATACATGACATGGTCATGACTACGACATTGAATAGATTGATAATGGTTCTTGATTATTACATATACACGTAATGACATGAAAATAACATGTTATATTAAGTAGTTAAGACCGTATTGAAATTTATATATCTATGCTCAAGGGAGACCTTGTAAAAAATGTTATCAATGCGCCAATCAATTTACTAGTAAGTGAACGATAGACGCAAATACAGTGATCAGTATTAGCGGCATATATATGTAATGTAGTAACTTGGCGGGAGACGACTTCATGGGTAGCACACTCTTTTTATTAACATCAACTTATTTCACACGGGTGGTTAACTGCAGCCTAACCCACTGAGTTCCCCTGACTACACCCCCACGGGCTCTTACGCCCCGTAGCTTCTCGGAACCCACCTAACTGGGGTGTCCGTCTCGACTCTGGGTCCCACAGCCTCGTCCCACATGGACGTCAGACCACGGGTCCCACAGTCTCGCCTCCGAGCCACACAGGGTCCCGGCCCTTACAAGGACAACGGAACTAGGGGTCTCGGGGCCCTACCTCTTCAACTCCGTCTTCGATCTTCAACTGGTTACAACTCCCCGAGTGGTCCCGCGCGTCCCCCTTTATAGTCCTTTATGCGGACGTCGCTGAGAGCACCCACCCCAGTTAACCAATCACTGCGCGCTGCCCACGATCCTATCTCCCGCATCGTGTCAGCGCGCACAACCCCACACGCCGCGCCGCCCCGCCATCCATCACTGTCGGCGCGCGTCAATACCACCCCACTTGATGTAGCCACGCCCGGCGCGCTCACACACACACACGCCCCGTCTTGTCAGCGCGTACCGCCACTACATATACAATACGTTCAAACGAAGCACTTTTAAAAGTAATTGGAGTAAAACATTGTCACGGAAATCTTCAAGAAGAAGCAATTCGTGTAAATTTTGGACCACACGTGACGCCGCTCGCGTGCAAGGGGAGGCCGTTGTGAGCCGCCTCTAAACCGTCGCTCGTCCCTCGCAGTGTTCGTGCTCAGCGACACAAGTGTTCTGTGCAGGGAAAGGCCTCGCGTCTGTGCCTGCGGGAATCCCCAGCACCATGCAGTATCTGGATTTGAACAGCAATCAGATCACGAAGCTCGAGCCCGGGGTGTTTGACCGCCTGACGGCACTGGTGGAGACACGAGTATAATCACATGAGCATCTTTCATATTTACACAAAAGATCACGTTACATTGTTTTTGACACCGTTTACGTGAATGTGTGCCTTTATAAATTATCATTCTGACAATCTAAATGGAGATAATTTTTATGATTGTAAACAGATATCACTTTAAATAACGAGAACGTGTGTTCTTTGGATAACAGATATTTGTGAACAGGAATTGAGTTTCATCATGGGACCGCCTTTGCCAGTGTCTGCATTAACCACAGATAAAGTTACGTAGAAGGAAAATAATAAAATAATAAAAATAAAACATAAAAAAATAATTCTCACGACGTTTCGGCCACAACGCAAGCAGCCGTATTCAGGTCGAGAACAGGTCTGTCGAGAGACAGAGTCTGAATGGCACGCCCCAGGCTTGGAGCGACTATTTATGCTGGGATGGAGGGGCAAAGAGCGACTTGACAAAATAATTTGCATATCAAGAGGAATTTAGCATATTTATGGGAAATGCAGATATGCGATTAGTACTACCCCCTAGTGTGCCGTGCCGGCCTTCATAACCGCACTTGCCCTAACAATCTGGTAAGCCTATACGGGGACCTTTGTCTTTGTTGTTGCGTGGTTGTTATTCCTGCGTTTGTTGCTAAACTAACAGAAACCAGCACAGCACATGCGAGTTTCTGTAAACGATCAATATCAGCTCTCATTATTCACACGATTCACTGATTTCATCTTCACTAATGTTCGGTTACACTGCAGACTAACCGGTAGCACTAGAGGACACCATAACGACGATGATGATGAAAACGATGACTGTGGATTTCAATTACGCGGTAGCTTTATAAACTGAACGCGACTCGTACCGAGCGTCATCTCTATCCCGTTACCAAGCCACAAAGCAGAGACCGATCCTGGCAGTGCTGTGCAGCTTGTGAAATGCGCCCCTGGGAACGCTCTTCAGCTGGTTGCTCTGCAGATACAGATGAGTGAGCTGGGTCAGTATGTCAAACACCCCAGTGGGGAGAGACGCGAGTTCGTCACTGCGCAGCAACCTCAGACACTCGGTCTCTGCTGTTTCGGAAGACTCTAGCAGAGTGAATGTAAATACGACTCCAAAGAGCATTGTCTACCTTTATTTCACAACATCAAGCTTGTGAGCAGATAAGTGTTGTTAAAAAAATATCAAATAATCCTTCGTCTATCCACTGCTCGATAAAGTGACCATGTTTCACCACGCTGGTGGGGGGGGGAGTGGGACCCCACACCAATTTTAATATTTGAAAACTAAGAGTGGACTACTTTTCTCGCTTTAGTTGAATAGACAAAGAAAATTAGTCAATGGAATACTGTACACAGGGCTGGAAATGAACTGAAAATCCACAAATAACGCGAGACATTCGTCAAGCGCACTGCCTTAAAGAGAAAATACATCGATGAAACGTTGCGGCCACGTGCATATACGAGACATGAAGAAGGGCCATCGCGTGAAATGTCACCCATTATATATTTCCCGTTATGGCAGCATGTGTGCGTGTGTTGAGTTTGTTTATCTGTGCTTGTCGACCACTGCTTGCCAGGGCGGTATCCACAAATAATTTGTAAAGTTACACGAGGCATCGTCGAGTCGACTTAGGCTGTGACTTCAAGAACACATTCAGACCGAATGAATGCAGCGCCTGATGTAGCTGGTGAGTCTACGGGAGCTTTTCCTCGGTGATAACAAATTTACGGAGTTGCCCGCAGGCCAGAAGTCGCAAACGGGTTTTGATTCCTTACCCGTACCCGTACCCGGCCGCACCAGGGTCGCAAACGGGTACCCATACCCTATCCGATACCCGGCTGCCAGTACCCGGCCGAGTATCGGGTAGGGTACGGGTACGAGTACCCGATTGCGACCTCTGGGATAAAGCCATGTTGCAGGCACGGGTGGGTTGATTCTAGGAACTTGAATTGTGAGAAGAGACAAGACGTTAGGAAATGAGTGACAAACGGTTAAACAACAGTGACTCACGGCCTACCCGTACCCGGCCGCACCAGGGTCGCAAACCGGTACCCGTACACGTACCCGGCCGAGTACGGGTAGCCGGGTATCGTATAGGGTACGGGTATCGGGTACCCGGTTGTGACCTCTGCCGCAGGCGTAGGGAAGTTGCCGACACTGACTCACTTAGGTCTGGACCTAAACCAGTTGAAGAGCATTGCCTGGAGACTGGGTCGCTCTTCCCATCGTGTGCTGTTCACACGTGGCTCGAGCGCTCATCGTGCTCAATGATCAGTTGACAATGTCACCATCGAGGAGCAACAGATCAAGGTGCAGCCCTGCCAGGTTCACGCCACTGATATCGGAAGGGCCTCCATTGGAGGGAGCTTTAGAGAGCTCCTCAGAAGGGTATTTTTCCACGATGGGCTGGTGCAGGTCAGCTGGTTCATTCTGTAAAGTTTGGGCTGCGGGTTGGGGCATTAACTCCCTGCCTGCCTCCCCTACTGCCTGAAAATGTGTGGTCACGTGGAGCGCGTGAAAGTGAAATATCATGGACAGAGTCGAGCAACGCCGTGCACTTCCTATTGGCATAGTTGGTTGGGCAGAAGTTCAACACACATATACATTGTAAACTAACATTGCACTTGCTGAGTCTCCAAGCCAAGTTGTTGAAGTTTCTCTGGGTCGTCTCTGCACGTGAATCATAGCGTTGTTCGCAAATGATGCTGGGTAATGTTGAGCTAAGAATTGTAAATGTAACACACTGTGGTGGGCGGGAGTGCTGGTGCAGTGGGTAGCGCAATCGGTTAAAAATTGGGTGACATCATCCCAAATCCACCAGACAACACATACCCACAGTTACCAACGTGGTGAAGTATAGCTAACAGAACCCCCATGTCGCTCCCACATATGACCAGCGCTTCGTGGGAAGGCTTTTATCTTGCAGTGGATTGACAAGTGGCTAAATTATCATTAATTATTATGAGCAGGAAAGCGTGGAACTTCTACAGCTACAGCATGGCGGATATGTACAGAGACTGACGATTTCACACATTGGGTGATTTCAAGCGGAAATATGTATTTTGCATACTCTTCTACCTACGTGACTTTACCGAAAGAACCAACGAGTATGGATTCCTGCAGTCACGAAATCTTCAAATCACGTATTTTTCATATATACAGTATGCTGAAAATAACTGAACAAGTTCCTTCGGAGTGAGCAGGTAGGAACCTAGTTGGACAGCGCATTCGTGCACGACAGACAAATATGCACGACAGACAGACAAATATTCCCTGGTGGGCAGTGTGGAACCTGTTGTTCTTACCTGTATAAAAGATAACTTGACTTGAGGTCGCCAGGCAGCCAGCCAGGTAGCCAGCCCTCTTAACTATCGGCCCCTCCCCCTTGCTTAGGCCCCTTACCCCCCCTCCCTTAGGCCCCTCCCTTGACCCCCCCCCCCTCCATCAGGCCCCTCCGCTGAACCCCCTCCCCTCAGGCCCCTCCGCTGACCACCCCCCATACCCTTAAGCCCCTCCCCTGACCACCCCCTCCATATCCTTAGGCCCCTCCCCTGACCCCCCTTCCCCTAGGACCCTCCCCTGACTCCCCTTCCCTTAGGCCCCTCCCCTGACCACCCCCTCCCCCATATCCTTAGGTCCCTTCCCTGACCTCCCCCCCTCAGGCCCCTCTCCTGACTCCCCCCTTCCTTAGGCCCCTCCCCTGACCCTCCTCCCTTAGGCACCTCCCCTCTCCGTACCCGGCAGTAGGTCTCCACCAATCAAAGAGCTGTTTATATTATATATATATGTATGCACGACAGTCAGACATACAAATAATCCCTGGTAGGCAGTGTGGAACATATTGTTCCTACCTGTATAATCATTAACGATTGTATCTCTATTACAATACATTTTGTCGATAGAAGTATAAACAAGAACAAAACAACGTACCCAATTATTTTGCAGTAAATACTAGGAAAAAGAGTTAGAGAGACAAACACGCGACCAGGACTGATACAAGAGGATAATACTAAACTCCAGGAAACACGCCGAGGAGGCTGCACGCTCTCCACACGGCGACTAGGCCTCGGCAAGGTAAGGTAAAAGTTAAAAGGTAAAAACGACGAGCCTACCTTTACCCTACCTTTTACCTTACCACAATACAATCACTCTACCCTACCTTTTACCCTTCAGCAGGTAAGGTAAAAGGTGAAAAGCAAAGAGCCTACCTTTTACCCTACCTTTTACCCTTACCCCATACAAATTACCCGATTACAGGGTATTACTAGGGGACTACACACTTTGCAATAGCTGAAGATCACCTCCCAGAGACCCAGTGTGGCTTCAGAGCCAACCGGGGAACCACAGACATGGTGTTTGTCCTGAGGCAGATTCGGGAAAAGTGCCGAGAGCAAAACAAAGCGCTGTACGTCACCTTTGTCGACCTGACAAAAGCGTTTGACACCTTGAGCATGCAGGGACTTTTAAAAATCCTGGAAAAGCTAGGCTGCTCACCGAAGTTCCTCACCATGATCGTCCAGCTTCATGAAGACCAGCTCGGACAAGTCAGACATAGCAACGATCTCTTGCAGCCCTCCCTTATTGCAAACGGCATGAAACAGGGCTGTGTTCTTGCTCCCACGCTGTTCACCATTTTGTTCAGCATGATGCTCCAGCAGGCCACAGAGGACCTCGACGATGCTGATGGCGTATACATCCGTTTTCGTCTCGACGGGAGAGTGTTCAACCTCAGGCGTTTGCAGGCCCACACAAAGACCATGGAGCAACTGATCAGGGAGCTGCTGTTTGCTGATGATGCCGCCCTCCTTGCTCACACAGAGACAGCTATGCAGCGAATTACGTCCTGTTTCGCGAAAACCGCTCAGATCTTCGGTCTTGAAGTCAGCCTGAAGAAGACTGAAGTTCTTCATCAGCCAGCATCCCATGAGGAGCACCATCCACCAAGCATCTTCATTGAACAAACATAACTGAAAGCTGTCCACCAGTTAATTTACTTGGGGTGCGTGATCTCGTCTGACGCCAAGATCGATAATGAAGTCGACAACAGGCTGGCCGAGGCAAACAGTGCATTCGGCAGACTATACAAACGTGTCTGGAACAACAGCAACCTTAAAAGAGACACGAAGGTCAACGTCTACAAAACTGTTGTGCTGACCACTCTCCTGTATTGTGCTGAGTCCTGGGTCACGTACCGTCGTCACCTGAGTCTCCTTGAGCGTTTCCATCAGGGCTGCCTCCGCACAATCTTCAATATTCACTGGAGTGACTTCGTCGCCAACACTGAAGTCCTTGAGTCAGCGGAGGTCATCAGCATCGAGGCCATGGTCCTCAAGATACAGCTTCGTTGGGCAGGGCATATCGCCAGGATGGAGAACCACCGTTTACCTAAGATTGTGCTGTATGGAAAACTGTCCTCTGGCCATCGCGACATAGGGGCACCACGAAAGCGATACAAAGACTCCCTGAAGAAGTCCCTCACTGCTTGCTGCATCGATCACCGTCAGTGGGCAACACAAGCAGCTGATCGCAACTCCTGGCGGCACACAGTCCACCAGGCCACCTCCTTCTTCGAAGATACCCGCAGGGCCCGTATGGAGGACAAAAGGAGAAGGAGGAAGAACCGTGATCCCTCAGCACCCATCCCAGATCAGACCTATACTTGCAGCCGTTGTGGCAGGACCTGCTTGTCCCACATAGGCCTCTTCAGCCACCAGCGTGCTTGCAGAAGACGTGGATGTTCTTCCTAGATCTTCGTTCGTGAAGCCAAGCCATGATGACACATCAACAAGGTTTATAACGGTAAATGCTAGGTAGAGCGCTTTATTGTTATAGAATATTCTCGATGATTACAATTTTACACGCTTTCTATTAACTCACTGTCTGTTGCTGTTGTTGTCGCTGTTGTCGTTGTTGTTGTATCCTCAAATCTTGCAAATACATTTTTACCCACTTCCTAATGTGGTATCGGCTGCAAACTTCGTATACTTATATCATACTGATGACAATACTATATTCTATCATTAAACAAATATATATTTCTTAACATTCTTTTTATATGTTATGTTTCGGCTTGGGTCTAATTGTCCACGGTCAACTGACGTTGGCTGTAAATCACCATGGCCCCTTACGTCATGGCAAGCTTCGGGGCCACTTCCTGAAGTCGTGGAGTTCTACCATTACGAGTACATTTAATAAAAGCGTGTTTTTAAAAAAGTTTGTCTTAATATTACTTGTTGAATGGAGGCCACGGACTGCGCCACGGAGCTTTTAGCGGTTAACAAAGCACCGTATTTACCAGGTAATACTTCACGCTACCTTTACCCTACAGGGTAATTCTTCCGAGCTACCTTTACCCTTTAACCCTTTACCTTACCCCTTGGCATGTCGACACCTTTACCCTTTACCCTTTTACCCGGTAAAAAGGGGAAATTACCTTTCCTTGCCGAGGCCTAACTGCAATTGGGCTGAATGGACGCGCGATCTTTCGTTCTGCTTGTCGGAAAGAACAGGAGACAGATCCGCTCCAGACTTGTTTACTTCTTTTTCTGTAAGTCCCGGTGCGTTACAGACAGACACACGAACAAGCGGATTATTAGTAATATAATGGATACAGAACCATTGCCATTTGTTTACATTTGGAAAACATTAACCGGTTTTGACTTCATTGGGTCTTATCAGTAAGTTTCATGGCCGTACGCGAACAAGAGTGTTTGCTTGGATGAGAGAATGTATGACAGCCTGGGGAATCTCAAGGAGCTTTCATTTCAAAATAACCAGCTGCAGGCTCTACCCGCTGGACTGTTTGACTGCCTGGTGAATCTGAAGAAGCTGCGACTGGACTATCACCAACTGCAGGCGATACCGCCCACTCTGTTTGACCGATTGACTGAACTGACACATCTGGAGCTGGACAATAACCAACTGAAGTCTCTCCCGCCTGGGATCTTTGACAAACTGGGGAAGCTGACGTATCTGGAGCTGGAAAATAACCAGCTGACGACCGTTCCCGCTGGGGTGTTTGGCTGCCTAGTGTAATTGCAGAAGCGGTATTTGCAGGGGAACTAGCTGAGTGAGAACCGTTCCGGACAGATACGATTTTCAGGGAATAGACCAGCGACAGTAATAAATAGCATGATACTTCAGAGTCGCCAAGTCAATGTGAATAACACTAATTTAACTCATCCAGAAAAGTCTTACCCAGTCTCAGGACTGTGCTAAGGATGGTCCCACATTGGGGCGTGTGGTAACTCCATTGTAAATGCGTGTTTGACACGTTGGAGGAAACCCTGGAGAAAACCCACCGCCCATACCATGCAGGGAATGACACTCAGCAGTCCGTGCAAACAGGTTCACGAGCCCTCTGGTTGTACTGCTACCACGTGGCCATCTCCAATGTTGTTAACTTAGTTCTGACTGTATATCAGCTCATGGAGAGAGTCATTGACTGAGACGGTAAGTAGATGGTGCGTGTTGTCACCACACTGTCCATGTCCATTATGCACTTCGTCGTGTAAACCAAAGAAAGGCAAAGAGAAGGATTCACGTGGTGCTTGTGTTGTTGCTGGCGAATGTCGCTTCATGTTCATGTCAGCTAAGGCCCCTTTGTCCATTTGTATCCCACGTTCAGCCATGTCAGTCATCTGCCTATGAAGGCAGCTAGAATGCCTGGTTTCCTTCTCCACACCAAAGGCTTATTTAACTCTGAACAACCATCTCGACTGCTATGCAAAGCACGCATTCGGCCGCCGTTGAACCGTGGTGTCAAATAAACAGTAGAGCACCCAGTGACGACCTCTCGAAAAAATGCAACATAAAGCAGTCAGGTTGACTGATGATATAATACAACACTCACTTGTCCAATCACTCCCTAACCTGCAGCCAGTCACCTCCTTATCACTCTTCTGTCGCCACTACCATCATTACTGCGCTTCTGCAGCAGTCTGGAATGCTCTTCCGAAATTTGAAAGCACATGGAGCTATGCACTTTGAAATATAAATTGAAAACTGGTTTCGTTAAACTGATTTTTGCGTTTAGCTTGTTGTCCTTCCCCCGCACCTCCGAGTCCCACAGTTAGTTACGTACGGTGCAAAAAAAAGTTCAACATACATACTTTTTTTAAGAACTCCACTCATTCGTTCCTCCCCCATGTTCAGTACTCAGTCTGTTAGATGGACTATTACGTCACATCCGTACGTTGTCCATCACACGCAGAGCTACCTGTGCACAGCAGCGGGTATAACAAACATTATGACTTAAATAAACAACATAGGTGATGAAATCAACTGCGTCCATTTCGTTACCCCCCCCCCCACCCCCTTAGTGATTCTTTAACAATACAGTTTGTTGTACATTTGTTGTCACTCAAACATTCCATAGTGATGCATTCCATTGCCATATTTATTAAATTATCTTTACGTAAAATTACGTTTTAGATTTATGTAAAAAACGGCTGCCCGCAAGGGGGAAGCCAAAGAGCCGCATTCGGCTCCGGATTCGCAGGCTACAGACCCCTGACACACACACAATGTAACGCACGTGTAAGGGGCCGTCCATAAATAACGTCACGCGATTTTGGCCGATTTTTGACCCCCCCCCTCCCCCCTCGTCACACGGCGTCACAAAAAGTCAGATCCCCCTCAAATATGACGTCACAAAGATCTGCCCCCCCCCCCACCAAACCGTATTTCCATTTGGAAAATAAAACATGCTTCAAATAATTTTAAAATAAAACTATTATCATTGTAGTGCGTATTTAATGTGGCGCTATTATCATTGTAGTGCGTATTTAATGTGGCGCTGCACTTTGATGTTGTAGGAGAAAACATGTATTAAAAAAGAGGCGTTGGAAATCTGAAATTTATCATAAAATTCACTTGAAAATATTCAACATCTAACTAAAACTGCAGATGTTCAGAAAATTATATTGAAATTCTCTAATAATTATCAAATATTAAAAGTTATTATGACTATAATAAAATACTTGACACTTTGTAGTAGAACGAAGCAAAATGGAGAGTACAATTATAACAATCACATATTCATTTCACTGAATGAAAAGCCCTGGTAGAATCATTGGAATCAAAATGTTTCATAACAATCATTAAACTTATTTTTTGCTACATTTATGCTTCTCCATTCTCCCATGGATCAATAATTAAAATGTATCAAAATTTGTGCCGTTATAACAATTATATTAAATTTATATTGATTTAAAGTTGCACTTTTTGATTTGACGTCACATTTCTCAAACCCCACCCTCCCCCCCTCCCCCCCTCGTCACACATCGTCACAAATGTCTGACCCCCATCCCCCCCCCTCGGGACATTTATGGACGGCCCCTAAGCGCTATATGTATAGGTTTGACAATGAAAATGGAGGTAATTTTACCTGACAGATGTTTATAATTGTGTAGTGGTGATAACTACTCGCTGTTCGCAAGCTGTCAGAGAGCGGATCGTGAACAAGGTTTTCCCGCTCAATCAAACGGTCAGGGTCAAATGGGGTGAGGTAGGATCCACACGCCAGATTGGGAAGGACCAATCGGAGGGTTCCACAAGGTGGCCGTGGATTGGACAACCCGGCCACGAACAGGTATAAAAGCCAGAGCGCTGAGAGCTCTTGGCCAGGTCTGCTACACGAAGACCCAAGTCGGCCGAAGACATCTAGGACCCTGGACCAAGCCCTCCAGCCCTTATTAGGGCTAGGGTTTAGTGTAACCAGTGGTCGGGGAGAGATCCCCTAGGTCCAGCCAGAGGACGCTGGGATAGCAGGGAGATTAGATAGCCTGCAAGGTCCGGAGGCTGTACCTCCTTAGAATAGGAGCTAAGCGTGAGTGTGGAGCTGTACAAGGCTGTACCTCCTCAGGGTAACGGGTGAGGGGAACATATACCCCTTTGTGTGATATGGACTGTGTATTAAGACAATAAACAGTGTGTGCCATAAAGAAGTTTAGAAGTCAGTCCTTTACAACACTACAACTGGTGTCTGAAGTGGGGTATATGGTCCCCTCACTCGTTACCCTGAGGAGCTACAGCCTCCGGACGTGCATAAAAGTGTTTTCTTTGTATAAGATGTTTGTGAACCTGAATAAAGTTTGATTGAGTTTATACATCTCTGTGAAAGCGAATCGGGGTGAATGTAAAATGTCTCTGAGAGGCATCAAAGTGAATCGATCACGTGGTAATTAATAACGCGGTTATCTTTGAAATTTAATTAAGTGGATTTATCTGACACTTCTCTCTTTGATAGTAATTGAGGTATCTTAAAATCATAGATGTATTTGCATGTAAATGAAATAATTTTAACTGGCAGATCTCGATGGAATTTAACTGGAATCGTGTAAACTGTTAATTTTCATATGAAGTAAGTCTAAGTTGTTTTAGATCAGACGTCTTTATGATAGAGAATGCAGGTTGTGTCAATCCCCATGTCTGCATGAGAGAGAATGGCTCTAGTTAAAAACTTTACGTAAATGGATTTCGCTTTCATTAACAACATATTTCCATGAGAGTGGTGAGAGATCGCTTTGGGCAAATAGCATGGAGGTCACTACTAAACTGAAGTCTCTAGAAGTGAAGAGGCCATTTTGAACTGACAGGTCACTCACATTATCATAATCCATGAGTACTCGTTTGGGTGTTTGACAGTCTAATATAATACTAATAGGGTTTTTCCCATTTTTTTCTGGCAACAAATCTGACACCTTTTGCAAGGAATCATGCTTACATTTTTTTTGCATCTGACTGCAAGTATTGTGGTTAATGTAAGCATGATTCCTTGCAAAGGTATTAGTATATTTTGGTACTGGCAAAGGAGGTCCCATGATGAAGTCTAATATAAATATGAAGTACCGGTGAGGACGCTGGACACCGAGGTTGAGGCACACGTATATTATTTCACAATACGACAGTGGGCATATAACACTCGAGGGGGTATCGGCCCCCTCACCCGTATAACTCGGGATACACACCTAGCTAACTCTGTCCTAGCCCCGAGTCCTCCACTAATGGGCTAGGGGAGGCTATCTGGCCCGACACTGGTAAGTCGGGCCCGGTACCCGGAGTTCCAGACCAGCTCTTACAAGAGCACCGGCTCTGGCTTTCGGGACCACGCCGCTGGCTCAGTCCTGTCCGGCCCTGAAAAGGACATCGAACTAGGGGAGTCCAGGGCTCTATCTAAGACGTCTTCAGTCTTCTTCCCTTAGCTTAAAACATAACTCCCGAGCCCTTTGAAACACCCCCTTTTATACTCAACCCCTCCCTGAGGGGTGGGGCCCCGGGGGATCATAACGTTCGAACCAGCCCCCCCCCCCAGGGTGTCTGGCTCGGACGTCGTAGAGGGCACCTCCTCGTGCACTTACGTAGCCCCGCCCACTGTGTTTGTTTTCCATAGACTGCCATGCATAACGGGCCCTCTCTTTAACACCCCTACATCACCCCTACAAATACATACATGTGAATGAAGGTCAATTTACTGAACACATCTGTATTCAAGTCGAGACACTTATATTTACGTCAAATGCGGATGGAGAGACGTGTCACGTAAATAAACTAAATGTAATGTCATAGATTACTGCGTGATTAATTACTACGTGATCCATTCACATTGATGCTTCTCACAGAGACCTCTTACATTCACCTCGAATCGCTTTCACAGAGATGTATCAACTCAAGCAAACTCCATTGCTATTCACAAAGATACGTTATCCAAAGAAAACACTTTCTTGTTAAATTTCGATTTAAAGCTTTCCTGACTGCAGGGATTCATCTTCGTGGTTCTTTCGGTAAAGTCACGTAGAATGGAAATAATAAAATAATAAAAATTAAACATAATAAAATAATTCTCACGACGTTTCGGCCACAACGCAAGCAGCCGTCCTCAGGTGAAGAACAGGTCTGGCGAGAAGACAGAGTCTGAATGACACACCCCAGGCTTAGAGCATCTATTTAAGCTGGGATGGAGGGGGAAGAGCGCCTTGACAAAATAATTTGCATATCAAGAGGGATTTAGCATATTTATGGGAAATGCAGATATGCGATTAGTACTACTTGTGTAATGTGTAGGAGGTGGGCGGGGGGTTTAAAGTCATATTATGCCCGTGGATAATATGCCCGGAATGTGGAAATCCCATAGCTGCCATCTGATAATCGAATCCATGGCGGATTCGATCGGCTGGTTAGTCTAAATGAACTAAAGTTGCATACCAACCAGTTGACAGCTCTGCCCACTGTTGTTCGTCTCAATCTGACCCAACTGACGCGAGTAGCGCTGCAAAATCACAGCTGGAGACCGTTCCACAGATCCAGGTTTTACCCATGAGCCCGTGCAGTCCGTGTGCACGATGCACACTTAAAGAGATTGTGACGTCATTGTTTAGCCAAGGAAAAGTCGTGAATTTAAACAGCCGGGTCATTTTATTGTGGATCGTCGGTCCATTGGTCAAAGTGAACCTTCATCAAAGCCCGCAAGTGTTATCAAACCTTATAATTTGGACTCTACTATAGTGCACGAGTCTCAGGAACTTGCCACCAGCTCAGCAGTTCCAGCCCTCGCCATCAGCTCCCCGTGTTCTCTCCAGTGTCGTCAACCGCTGAACGTGGAACATCACCTCACGAATCACTAAGAATGGTTAAGTGTGGAAACATATTCCGTCTGATGGCATCATGAAGTCAGAAGACGAGTTACGAAGAATTAAACCTAGAAAACCTACTCGAGGAAATGCATGCATATTGATGCACCTGTAGATATTAATGTATATCGATTTTCTACTTCGGCATCCAAACTAAATGTAATGTTACTGACCAAAATGCGTTGTTTTGTTACACTGAGCATAAAAGTCAAGTCATTGCTGTAAACCTATTTCACGTGAAATGTAACGAACGTGTAGGTTTCATCGTATGATTTCATTTGCACCAAGCTGATATTCCAGCGTCGGCTCTACCAGCAGGGATGATTGAAAATTCGCAATCGATCCTTCATATCATGACCTGGCATTTATATTATAATGGGAATAAACTGAAGGTAAACCGAAATGGATTAATATTTCTATTACGCATTCTTAATTTATTCAAAACGGCTCGAATATATGAAGTATGAAAACAAATGCTCGTGGAATATGCGACTGGAAGTTGGGTTATACTGAACCCCAATCAAGGAACATGCTGGTGAATTTCCACATCCATGTCTGGATATCGGCTGATGGTCGTTCTCGACGGGGTGTTTGACCGCCTGGTGAATCTGCAGAAGCTGTGGTTGTATGAGAACCAACTGTCTGCTCTCCCTGCCGGGGTGTTTGACAAACTGACTCAACTGACTGTCTTGATTCTGCACACCAACCAACTACAGGCTCTACCCGCCAGGGTGTTTGACCGCCTCGTTAATCTGAAGGAGCTGTACTTGTGTAGTGACTAACTTAGAGACGTCAGTTCTTGGAGGCAGTTCTATCATTAACACCGAGCACACTTTATACAATACACACCCTACACTGTTACACACTCTGCTGTCTCTCGGTTATATGCAACTCTACACTGGTCGCTAGCCAACACACAACACAAGACGTCTGACACTGACGGCACTGAACTAAGAAAGCCAACTATCGTCTAGCAACGCAATATCAAGTGATGACAACAGCAACGAAGGCGGCAGGTGGCGGTGAACCTCCGGCTGAAGGCCGCCCAATTTCCTCCTGCAGCCACAAATTATTTTACAAAGGGCCTGCGCTTCCTCAGTGCCGGCACCTCCGCCTGTAGTTTTGGTGGGAGGTTCGTTATGGCGGGAATACCGTCCCGCTCGCCTGTCAAAATAGCGGCCGTGCTCGTGGGCTGTTTCCCGCGCGTGGGACGTATCAGCGGCGGAGTAGTCACCCCGCGGCTCCGGCCCACCAACTCGTTCACCCGGCTCATCGAGTTCCAACTCAGCGACGAGCAGTGCCGCAGCGGACAGTAAGTCAGCAAGGCGCCGGCTCCACACCTGCCTGTTTCTTCCCAATGCGGGCGGCATGCGAGGTCGTGCTCCTGGCGTTGGTCCGCCGGCCGAGCTCCCTTGTGCTCCATCTCCGGGGCCGCCTCTCCCAGGGATGTCTGAGGGATCACCCCCTCTTCGTCTTCTTCGTCTGAAGAAGCCCTGGTGGGTTGTCTCCATCTAGTAAACATTTTCCTACTCTAAAGTTATCACCTAGCTAGAAAGCATTGGCACTACTGGCACCAGATGTAGTGGGTTCTATGGAGACACACACTGTAATCTGGAGGCACAACGCCGCCTGGGCGTTCTTACCGTACCTGCGTAAGGTGCAGATGCCCGGGCCACATCGCCGTCGACTCCCGCCATGGGACTGGAGGGTTTTCGCTGAATCCATCCTCCGGCTTCAACACCTCCACCTCCTGCAATACACAGGCGAGTCCGGACGCATCAGACACATGGCCGCTTTAGTCCCATCATCCATCTAGCATAGGTCGCGTGCGGACTCATCCTGTGGAATCTCATCCTGTCGCGACTTGGAAACATGGTGCGGGGTCGTTAGCGTCTTGGCCACATGGCATCGAACAATGGAATGCACTGGCTCATCGCGTAGTGGGCACCGCAGCAGGTTCTTCAACAGTTATGCGGTCAATTCAGGGGATCCAGGTTCGTCTGTTGATAGACACAGGGGCCGTCACAACTATGATCTCCGAGGCTGTGTTTCGTACATTGCCTTCGTCGTCCGATCCTCTTACCCCCGTGGAGAGGGCTTGTGTGGCAGCTAACAGGGGGAGTCTGGGCATAATGGGTCAGATGTTGGAATCTGTGCAAATTGGGGAAATATTTTGGAAGGACAGATATTGCTTTCACCGACTTTGGCCATGCCCTCTGTTTGCTGGGCACTGATTTTCTACGCAGGATGCCCTTGAAACGTTTAATCGACCAGGGGTGTATTGAATTACCATCGGGACAGAGGTTGCTGTTTCTGAACTCTCCTGGTCGACATCCATTGCAGAACGCTGTCATTTATGCGATGGCTAGGCAAACCGTTAACGTGCCTCCCAGTTCTCAAATCAACCAGCCGTCCGGCCAGTTGTCCAGATGGCTCGAAATCCTCCAGGAATTTTCATTCACAGTGGTGCACAGAAAAGGCACTCGGCACGTCAACGCTGACGCGTTGTCCCGCTTACCGCCCCAGGTTGCGTGCACGTGTGCCTCAGGGGTATCGAGATGTAAGCCCTCGCAAGACGGTGCACCCGCGGTGCTTGTGACAGCCGGCACAATGCAGGAGGAAGGCGCTCAGTCGCCACGCGATCCTGTCTTGAATCTCGACCATGATGCGTGGGCTAAGCTAGAGGTTGATGACACCTCACTCTTGACATTGCGCCGTCGTGCTTCTTGTGGGCCATGCCCCGCGGGATGCCCATCCGTTGTGCTGCACGAGGGACTCCTCATGCGGTGGGAAGGGGAGTCCCAGCGTTATTCCTTGGTCGTACCATTGGTCCTTAGGGGAAAACTTACTAAAGCCATACACGATAAATTGGTGCATCTGGGTGTTCACAAAACGTTGGAGATGCTGAAAAAGAACTGTTACTGGCCCGACATTAAAACAATGTACTGTACTCCTTCTGATTAAAGGTTGTGCCGATTGTGCGTGTCGGAAATCCCCTGCCCTGTGCCCGCAGATCCCATCACAGTCCATTGTTGTGTCACGGGTGAATGAATTGGTGGCCCTTGACATTTTGGGGCCCTTTCTGGTCTCCCAGAGAGGACACAAGTACCTCCTCGTTGAGATTGAATATCTGATCCGTTGGCCTATGGCATGGCCTCTGGCTGACCAACTGACTGCTTCTATAACCGATGCCTTTTTATATGGCTATGTTCTTGATAAGTGTCCACGGACGGAAAGATGTGGACTATTTTTCACACCCGACCGAAATCATCTCTACCCGCGGAGACGGTCTTGCCACACGCACTCGCTCGCAACGCGTCACGTTTCGTTAATAGGAAGGACTTTTCACGCCTTCACATTATGTTTGTTACTGTTATTGTTGCCCTCCCACGGTCACTGCCTAGAATTGTGTTGTTGTTAGGGATCGATCACACACATACATGCACGCTTGCATAGATTTGACAGCCAGGACGGCTGCATTTTTATTCATGGGGGGAGGGGGCGATGTGGAGGAGAAAAGTACGCGGTGCGCACAGTTAAGCAGGTGCAACGGAGGGAAAACAGGTGTGCGCGTTGCAACATGAGGTTTGCACCGACAGACCGATAATAGTTAAGGGTCACGAATAAATGGGAGTCAAAATCGTAATTAATTTATTTATTTTGGCTACTCCGTCCCACCGCACACATAAACGCCGCGACCCACCTGGCACGGATCATTCTGTTGTCATGTCGTCCAAGCACAGCAAATACACTCCATGCTCGGGTATGGGCTGGATCATAAGTCTTATCCAAAGCTACTCAAACTGCCTACACGACTTAAGTCCTTTATTTGTCATAACGGTATGCATAATACAGTGAAAATGCTATTTTATCTTAATCATTATTTGTGACCTACAAATGTCTGCAGCCAGGATCAATCGATGTCAATCATATTACCTGCAGATATTTAACAGATGAGACGTTAATTCCTCCTGTTTGATAATACTTATCTTGTCCGTATGCATCTGTGCAAATAGTTTTTTTTTGTGGTTAAGCCATAGTCCCCACATACGGCTCGTATCAATGCGGATAAGAGGAGCGGCGACCCACTACTCTGTAGAGTAACATTTGTAGAAACGCTTGTTACAATATGAACAGAGCATTGAAAACGCCTACTATTTTATGTCCTCTTTACAAAGTGCGTTCACAAATCCTTCACTGAGAAACACGATGATTGACAGCGGTATAGTTTAACAAGACAACACTTGCCACCATCCTTCAAACCAATTGGTGAAAAAGAGCAGAGTTTTTGTTTACATTGTAATATAATGTTTATGCGAGAGTCGGGGGCTTATGGGACCCCGGGGTCCCGCCATACGGTTCATATCCCCTTCAGGATGACCGAGCCCCGCCCCCAACCACGCACCTCCTCTCGATCTCTCCCAGCCTTGTTCGGTTGCTCTGCACACTTACCTCGTGTAACCCTTCCTTCCCCTGTCACCACGACCATCCCCCAAGCCCACTAGGCCACTCACTGCCCTTACACATCTATTAAACAATAGCTTGATTATGAATACTCTAATAACCTACAATCATGCGTTTTACAATGACTTTCTTGAGGCTATTTGTTGTATGATTGCAGTTGTAACAAGGTTTTATTTGCCCGATAGTTGTTTACGCATTCGACGTTCTAACAACAGCGATAAGGAGACTAAAGCCATGCAAGGAAAACGCTCCAATGAGAGCAGGTTGGAGTGCTTATGTGAAGATTAACCGCACAATGAAACGTAACATTCCCACGTGTCTACAACTCGAGATGTTGATCCGTGTGAACCACCTCCTATAGTATATGGTGCAGAAGCACTTTGGGTTTGTCCAGGATATAGCGCAAGAGGGGATGATGAACTAATCTACGATGGCCAATGCACATTGACCATGGTCAAAAACTATAGCGGAAGCACGTTTCCCAATGGAGATGGAGTAATGACAGCAGCTCGTGTGCAGGTGCGAGGTGGATTAATACATCGCATGGTCGTAAATACGACGTGCAGTGTATTGATCATGGTTCTTGATAATTACATATACACGCATTTACATTAAAAAAAAATATGAAGTAGGTGAAAGCCTATTAAAATGTATATCTCTAAGCGCATGGGAAAACTTTAATCAATGATCCAATCAGTGGCGGCTCGTCAATAGAGGGCGCAGGGGCGCCGCCCCCATCAATATTCAAGAAATAAACATATACAAAATTTATATAAAAATACATAAATAAAATATTTTTTTCATACGATGTGCCGGCTGGTAGTAAGAAAAGCATCAGCATTTAATAAAAACTGGCTTTAATCGGTCAACTATTTTCTATGTTTTTCAATGTGTTTCATGCGGGGCGCCGGACAAATGGATGTCTATGTGAGACTTTACATTTTCGGACAGCATGTGACCTGAAGCTGGTCTCTAATTGGTTTCTTAAAGATTCTCCTCGGGGCGCAAGTCGTTGCGTCCCTGGCCAATCAGAATTGGATACATGTTATTTTATCCAATCTGATTGGTTCTCGTCACCTGTCATTCAAATTTACGCTGTAGGCCACTACTGCGAGTGCGAAGGCGACACCACTTTGACACTTGCTAGGCTGATCAAATTTTTTGTGTAAACAATGGCAGCAGTTCATCCAAATTCTGTAATTTATTTACAAAAAAACCCTTTCACAAGGCTTTCGCTGGAAGAAATAAAAAAGATAAAGGATCTCGGACCGGACCAACCCGATTTACAAATCCAGCAGCAGGCCAGTGACAGAGGACGAAGCTACACACGAAGCTTCACCCGCGCTTGTTATGAGAAACGGAGGTGGCTGGCTGGATGTGATGTTAGCAATTCTCTTTTTTGTTTTCCCTGTCTTTTATTTCAAAGTGTCGGCACTGAAGTTTTGTGGACAACGACGGGGGTAAGAGACCTCAAACATCTCTCTGACAAATGCAAACGTCATGAAAGTAGCCGCAGCCATATTGATAATAGCATGAAACTAACGTTTTTGGGCAGAGTTAGCATTGCTGAACAACTAGATGAAGGCTACAGGATTGGCATTAGAAGGCACAACGAAGAGGTGACAAAAAATCGACACATACTCTCCAGGATAATAGACTGTGTGAAATTTTGTGGAGCATTTGAGTTGGCGTTACGTGGCCATGATGAGAGTGAGAGCTCAGATAACCCCGGTATATTTCGCGGGTTGGTGGATTTTGTTGCCTCTCTTGATGGAGCATTGAAAGAGCACCTTGACAGTGCTACTGTATTTAAGGGAACGTCGAAAACTATACAGAACGAGCTACTGGACTGTATGTTGTCTGTTACAAGAGAAGAAATAATCAAAGAAGTCCAGACAAGTAGTTTTTTATCAATCCAGGCAGATGAAACAACAGATATTGCCACACAGTCCCAACTTGTGCTTGTGCTGCGCTACATCGACGACAAAAATAACGTGCAGGAAAGATTTTTTGAGTTCATCCCTCTGCAGTCAGCTACAGCTGAGTCCATTGCTACTGCACTAAAAGAGCGTCTTGCTTCTATCCTTCCTAAGGATCAGAAAAGTAAGCTCATCTGCCAGGCATATGATGGGGCCAGCGTGATGAGGGGTGCCACTGCAGGTGTTCAGAGAAAAATACAAGATGTGTACCCAAATGCCCACTACATCCACTGCTACGCACATCAGCTCAACCTGATAATGCAACAGGCCACGTCTCACATATCCAAGACGAGAATATTTTTTTCTAACATTGGTGGATTTGCCAGCTTTTTTTCTAAGTCACCCAAGCGGACATGTTTTCTGGATAAAGTGGTTGCCCATAGACTGCCAAGATCCAGCAACATCAGATGGAACTTTCATAGCCGTGCCATTAATACTGTTTTTGAGCACAGAGAGGATCTCATTCACTGTTTTGAGAGCATACAAGACTCAGATGACTTCGACCCCAATACTGTCAGAGAAGCAGGAGCCCTGGCCATGCTACTGGAGGATGAGGATTTTAAGTTCTTTCTGGAACTTTATCACCACATCATGCCACATGTAGACTTCCTTATGCCAAGCTCCAGAAAAAGAACATTGATTCAGTCCATATCAAAGTGAGCATCCAACAGTTCCAACAAGAAATACAAAAGATCAGGTAACTTTATTCCTGTAATATGATCATTATTTGCTTTCTCTTTCATTTTTAACTCTCTTTATCCTTTGCCAAAATTATAATAAATTATCTTTGTCCTTTGCAGAAACTCTCTCCACTCCATTGGTGAGCAAAGCAGTGGTTCTCGTCCAACAAAGAGGCGCCGGGCGCTCAGTTCGGAAGACCGTGAAAGGATTGCAGCAGAGGTGAGTTTGTTATAGAAATCAGTCAAAATATTCTACAGACTCAAGAAAACATTTTTAGTTTGGTATAAATCCTAACAAAAATCTTAATTTTAATATACAATAGCATCCCAAAAATAATAAATTGGCAACATAAAAATAAATGATCAAATGAAATTTGAAGCCACCAAAAACTACAGTCTTGTATGGGACAAAAACTCAAATGGCTCTATTTTTCTTTTGAAAGTAATTGCAACTGTGACAATTAGTGGTCTACTCCAGGCTACTACCTTACATTTATATATCTATTTGTTTAATTATCTCTATAGGTCTGTGACACAATCCTGGGACACACTAGGGAGCGTTTCTCCTTCACAGACCACCTTGTCTGTGCCACCTTGTTGCAGGGGGACAGGTTTGATGAGTACAAGGATACCTTTCCTGAAGATGCATTGAGCAGCACCATGAAAGCGTACCCGATGCTCAGTGGAAGCAAGCTGAAGACGGAGCTCAGTCTCATCTACAGCAAGGAAGAGTTCAGAGCCAGCCGTGGTGCTGTGGACCTATTCCAGCTGTTTATGGAGAATAATCTCGAAGAAGTCTTTTCCGAAACTGTGACTCTCCTAAAAGTTATCATTACCACACCCATGACCACGGCTGAAGCTGAGAGGTGCTTCTCAACCTTGAAACGAATAAAAACTTTTCTCAGAAACACCATGACCCAGGAGAGGCTGAATGCACTGGCATTGCTGTCCATGGAAAAGAGACTTGTTACGGAGATGACTGACTTTAATCAGAGAGTAGTTGAGAAATTTGCTGGCCAGAAAGAAAGAAGAGCAAAATTTATGTTCAAGTAGGAAACATGCTTTTTGGTACTTTGGTCTGAAATGTATATAAAAGAGAAACATTTATGTTCAAGTAGGAAACATGCTTTTTGGTACTTTGGTCTGAAATGTAAATAAAGATCATCAAAATTTATATTCAAGTAGTCAAAATGGTTTTTGGTACTGCTTTATATTTATTTGCCCCCCTCAATAAAATAAAAAAAATGCGCCCCCCCAAAAATAAATATCACCAGCCGCCACTGGATCCAATAAATGTACTAGTAAGTACACTATAGACGCTAATACAGTGATCAATATTAGCGCCGTATATACAGTACGTTTCAACGAATCACTTTTAAAAGTAACGGGGAAAAACATTTTCAGGGAAATATTCGGGAAGAGGCAACTCGTGTAAATGTTGGACCACACGCGACGCCGCTCGCGTGCAAAGGGAGGCCCTTGTGAGCCGCCTCTAAACGGTCGCCCGTCCCTCGCAGTGTTCGTGCTCGGGGACATCTGTGGACTGTTCAGCGAGAAGCCTCGCGTCTGTGCCTGCGGGAATCCCCACCACCACACAGATTCTGTATTTGCAAGTCAATCAGATCACGAAGCTCGAGCCCGGGGTGTTTGACCGCCTGACGGCACTGGTGGATACACGATACACCAAGGCTCCTGCTATTTCCACTGCGGTAGTGAATCATTGCATTTAATCACATGAAAATCTTTCATATTTACACAAAAGATGACGTTACATTGTTTTTTTTAACATCGTTGACGTAAATATTTGTGACTTTGATAAGGATAATTCTGACAATCTAAATGGCGTTGATTTTACCTGACATATGTTTATGATTGTAAACAGATATGGCTTCAAATAACGGGAAAGTGTTTTCTTTGGATAATATATTTCTGAACAGGAATGGAGTTTGCTTGACTTAAAACATCACTGTGAAAGCGAATATGGCTGCATTTAAGAGGTCTCTGTGAGAGGTACCAATGCGAATGGATGAGGTGGTAATTAATAGGGCAAATATATATGACATTAAATTAAGGAAAAATCCACGATGGCCAATGCACTTTGACCATGGTCGATAACAATCGCGGAGCAGCAGGCAAGGGAGGGAACGCGCCCAGAAGTACGTCCACCATTGGAGATGGAGTATGACAGCAGCTCGTGTACATGTACGAGGTGGGTTAATCCATCGCATGGTCGTGACGACGGCTTGCAGTGGTGCGTGCATCAACAACAACGGAACAACGCAACAAAATCACCACAACATCCAAACAACGCAACACAACAAAAAACAATGACACGACAAAACAACCACACAATACGACAGCACAGCAGGACAAGAGCAACCACTCAAAAAACAACTACCCAAACCGCACCAACAACGCAAAACTTTACTCAAACAGGACTTTGCCACAAATCCCATTGTAGCAGCATCGTACTAAAGACTAAGCCTCTTGTCTCGAGGCGAATGCCAGAATTCTTTCCACTGATCGAAACACCCCAGCGGGGAGGGCATGAGACAATCACTGAGCACAAATCGCAGATCAGCAGCCTCCGCCTCTTGCTATAGAGCAGCCTCTACAAGAGAGCATCGCTCTTCACAAGGCAGTGGAGTCCAACACGGGTCCCTAGGTCGCGTTAGCGGCGTCGTGTTCACCTCACATCTCGGCACCTCGCTCTCTATCCCGATTCCCAGCGACAAAGCAGAGACCTTGCCTGGCAGTGCTGGCTCCGTTTTTCAAACGCGCCCTTGGGAACGCTCTTCAGCTGGTTATATCCCAGAGACAGATGAGTGAGTTGGGTCAGTTTGTCAAACACCCCAGTGTGGAGAGACGCGAGTTCCTCACTGCGCAGCAAACTCACTTACGGAATACTCTAGCAGAGTGAATGGATATACGACTCCAACCAGCATTGGTTACACCATAGCAATCATTGAAGACTTTGTCCAACAGGGACTGAATCTTGATGTACCAACTTTGGTGAGGCACTGCTTTACCAACACTTACTTCATTGGGAATGATACATTCTACAAACAAAATGAAGGTATCCCTATGGGTTCTCCTTTATCAGCAGTGGTAGCGAATGTTTTCATGGAGAAATGTGAAACAGTTGCCATCCTGACATCCACCCTACGTCCTTCCCTGTGAAAGAGATACGTAGATTACACTTTCGTCATCTGGCCAGATGGCCAGCCAGCACTGAACCAGTTTTTTAACCACTTCAATTCCATACATCCATCCATCAAATTCACAATGGAAGTGGAAAATGATGGCAAGCTACCATTCCTGAATGTTTTAATCGAGAAAAGGCCTGATGGCTCGTTGGAACATTCCGTCTACAGGAAAGCCACCCACACGGATTCCTATCTAAAGCCTGACTCTCACCACCATTCGCCCCAGAAGAACTCCCTCATCAAAACATTACACCATAGGGTCCGCTGCATCTCCGACCAGCACCACCTAGCCAGTGAACTGGAGCACGTACACCAAGCCCTCAAGATGAATGGATACTCAGACCGCACAATCTGCAAAGCTGTAGCCCCAACCATGGGTAGAGAACCATCTGAGGACCCAATCAAAACCATCACCTTGCAATATCTTGCAGGTGTCACCAAAAAGATTTCCAAAATATTAAACAAACACAAGATCCAGGTCAGATTCAATACAGTACACAACATCGGTGATTTTATCCCACCTGTGAAGGATGTCACTCCTGACATGCAATACCCTGGTGTCTACAAACTAAGTTGTGTCTGCGGCAGCAGTTACATTGGGAAAACGAAACGACATGTCTCGGACCGTGTTCGCGAACACAAGGCAGATTTGAAACACGGCAGTGGCTGATCATTGTCATAACGCAGTGGGCTCGCACGATATTGTTTTTTCCAAGACCAAGGTACTCTGCAAACCTTCGGGCTACCATCAAAGATGTGTCCATGAAGCCATCCAGATATATAAACACAGAGACAATTTTAAGCTGAGCAATCATTGGAAGGACGTTATTAACTAAGCAAAGTCGTAACTTGCTGTGGTTCTTCCATTCTACCCTGCCTTTTGGCTGTTATATAAACACAGAGACAATTGTAAGCTGAGCAATCATTGGAAGGACGTTATTAACCAAGCAAAGTCGTAACTTGCTGTGGTGCTTCCATTCTTCCCTGCCGTTTGGCTGTTATCTCCGATTCTCTGAGTTGCATTGCCCTGTTAGGTACCTCTGCATTAACGAGCTGGGGTCTCACTAACATGGCCACCTCTGCTCCCTTAGCCTCGATGTATCGATGGTTCTGGCTGTGTGATGGGCTGTGTCTCACTGGTGCGACTACCGTTGTGGTGGTTCTCTTGCGTGGACGCGCTTGCCTCACAGCGCAGTTGGCAGCGCCACAGCTTGTGTTACACATAGATATGACATTCACTTGCTAATCCCCCTAATCTTCCTGCCGAATCTCTCCCATCAACATAGTGCTAATCTCCCATTAACACTGCTGTTGTGCGCATATGCGGGGGCGATACTCTTATGCGGCAACGTAAGCTCATTTCATTATAATCTATCTCTCTAATATCTCTCTCCCTAATCTCCCCCATTAACACAACTGACGTGCTTGCGTCCGGGGATGGAGTTACTTTCCAGCTCAGACCCCGCTTGCTTACCCATCGCCACATAAATAACCTCTTGTTGTAACAGCTCTCTCGCTGGTTCAGCAGTTCCACTGCTGGATTATTTTTTTCCGCCTGAGGACGACCGCTTGTGTTGCGATCGAAACGTCATCATTTATTTCTACCTACGTGACTTTACCAAAAAAATCAAAGAGTATTGGTTAAAACAAATTCACACCATCATGCTTGTGAGCAGATTGGTGTTGTTCAAAAAATATATCAAATTAATCATTCAAAGTCCTTCGTCTATCCACTGCTCGATAAAGTGACCATGTTTCACTACGCTGGTTAAGGGGGGGGGGAGTAGGACCCCACACCAATATAAAACAACCAAGAATGGACTAATTTTATCGCTTTCGTTGAATAGACTAAGAACATTATTCAATGAAATACTGTACACAAGACTGTAAATGAACTGAAAATGCACGAACAACTCAAGGCATTCGTCAAGCGCACTGCCTTGAAGGGAAAATAAATTCATTAAATGTTGTGGGCACGTAGATTTACGAGACGTGAAGAAGGACAGCATGTGTGTGTGTTTTGTTATCTGTGCTTATGTGCCACTGCATGCTTGCCAAGGCGGTATCAATAAGTAATTTGTAAAATCGCACAAGTCGTCGTCGAGTCGACTTAGGCTGTGACTTTAGGAACACATTCAGATCAAATGAATACAGCACCTGACCTGGCTGGTGAGTCTAAGGGAGCTTTTCCTTGGTGATAATACATTTACGGATTTGCCATGCAAGCGCAGGGAAGTTGCCGACACTGCCTCATGTCGGTCTGGACCTAAACCAGTTGAAGAAATGTCATTACAAGTGTAATGAGCGACTTCCGCGACACGTCATGTAGAGGATACTCGCTTCTTTATTCACATTTATAAATGCACTGTTATAATTCAGTGGGCTCACATGACATTGATTTCTCCAAGACAGAGGTTCTCTGCAAGCCATCTGGCTACCATGAGAGATTCGTTCATGAGGCTATCCACATACAGTGAGGGAAAAAAGTATTTGATCCCCTGCTGATTTTGTACGTTTTCCCACTGACAAAGAAATAACCAGTCTATAATTTTAATGGTAGGTTAATTTGAACAGTGAGAAACAGAATAACAACAAAAAAATCCAGAAAAACGCATGTCAAAAATGTTATAAATTGATTTGCATTTTTAACCCCTCTGCAAAACATGACTTAGTACTTGGTGGCAAAAACCCTTGTTGGCAATCACAGAGGTCAGACGTTTCTTGTAGTTGGCCATCAGGTTTGCACACATCTCAGGAGAGATTATGTCCCACTCCTCTTTGCAGATCTTCTCCAAGTCATTAAGGTTTCGAGGCTGACGTTTGGCAAATCGAGCCTTCAGCTCCCTCCACAGATTTTCTATGGGATTAAGGTCTGGAGACTGGCTAGGCCACTCCAGGACCTTAATGTGCTTCTTCTTGAGCCACTCCTTTGTTGCCTTGGCCGTGTGTTTTGGGTCATTGTCATGCT